CTGAGCATCCTTCAGTCCAACTCAAGCTCCTCCCTTCTTCACACTGGAACTTGACACTCACAAGTCCCTTGCATTCTCCATCTGTTCTCTGAATGCTTCTTGATTTTACTGAAACCTGGCTAACCCACAAGAATACAGCTTTTTCAACCCACAGTAGTACCCCCAGCACATGCAGTAGATACCCGGGAAATACGGAATGCAAGAAAGATTCAGAGTACCACTGATTATAATTCAGACACTAAGCAGAGAATAAGATGTGATCAGAGACTAGTGTATGCTGGTAAGACATCCATGTGTAAATGCCTAGTTTTCAGATCAGGTGAAAGACTAAGTCTTGAGATAATTATTAGATAATGAGTCAGAATCACCTTCCAAGAAATGAGAGACCTGACAATAGCCTCTATGCAGAGAGGAATGATCAAAAAAAAAAAAACAGGAGAATGCACACTAAGCTTCCATGCTAGCAAAATAAGAGGAAGTGTGAAAACCTCAAAACGCAGAACATAAAAAATAGAAACATAAAACAAAGAAAGAAGGAAAACACAGGTTTGTGGAAACCTAGATAAAACAGCAATGTTCTAGAGTATTGGTCAGAGAAAATCAGATGTTCTGCATTTAACCAGAAACATGTTCAGCCAGCAAATTCAGAGGACTCTTTAACACACTGTGAAGAAAGAGATAAAGAGAGGAGGAAGAAAAAGGCAGAAAGAGGAGACTGCAGACAAGATCAGGTAAATTTAATGGCCCCCCAAAAACAGACAAATTCACTGCTGGTGGCTAAGCAAACAGATTAGAGGGGAGAACTTCCCAGGTACCAGATCTAAATGCCACAGAAACACAACACCATCCTCACGTTCTGAATAAAGGAAAAGCCACAAGCATGTGCTGTTGATAGTACAAAGGACAGAGACTCTGCTCCTGCCAGCTCCTGGTGGAAGATTCCTGGAGACTGATGTGGAGTGAGCCAACTGCTGGGTCAGAGAAAACTGACAAAGGGATGGAAAGGCAGGCAGACAAAAGGGACTGTACACCAGCTTGCCTCTTGCTGGGCAAAATGGAGATGCTGCAAATCACCGTTCCACTTTTTGAGTTGAACATAATTCAGGTAAATAAACTAGTGTTTATAAAATGTGCTCTGTCTCATCCATTATTGAAGGTATAAAAGGAAACTCAGTGAATGTCTTTGCTCAGTGGTGTGCAGGAAAAGGGCTGGTGTTTTGTTTTGTTTTTTTGCTTGTTTTGCAGTCTTAATTTATAGCTGCACATGTGATGCGATATAAATGTGGTATAAATGCTCCCACTAGTACTGATTTCAAGCCAAAATAATAATGCCTCAAAGCAGGACCTGGGCAGAGGTGCGCACAGGCTCTGGGAGTCAGTGCAGGCTGGCACTGAGGAGTTGGGCAACTAATCTGGACTGGGGCTGGTCCACAATTTCCAAAAGCCTTCCAGTAGATTCTCTGTGCAGGCAGATCTGAGAACCATTACTTGCCCCACTGCTTATCAGACTTTAACTTCCATATGAATCTTGTTAAATGCAGGTAGGAACTCAGTAGGTATTGCCAATCTCTAGCATGAAAGACGAGAGAATTAAAAGAAGAAAAACAGTCATTCAGGGCCCACCAATGTCAGAAATGTTTTGCAGGGAGGCTTCTTAGAGAAGTCACAAAGTAGAAATAAGGGAATTATTTATGACCAAGGTTGTAGAGATATTTCTTTTACCCAACTGCACTTTGCTTTTTAAATTGGAGTTAGATGTCAACATTATAAAAATCTCTATTCTCAACTTTTTTTTTTTAGGGGGGGAGAGACCCAGCAGTACAGCTACAACTAAATAAGCTGCAACCATCCACAATTTCCAAAAGCCTTCCAGTAGATTCTCTGTGCAGGCAGATCTGAGAACCATTACTTGCCCCACTGCTTATCAGACTTTAACTTCCATATGAATCTTGTTAAATGCAGGTAGGAACTCAGTAGGTATTGCCAATCTCTAGCATGAAAGACGAGAGAATTAAAAGAAGAAAAACAGTCATTCAGGGCCCACCAATGTCAGAAATGTTTTGCAGGGAGGCTTCTTAGGAATTATTTATGACCAAGGTTGTAGAGATATTTCTTTTACCCAACTGCACTTTGCTTTTTAAATTGGAGTTAGATGTCAACATTATAAAAATCTCTATTCTCAACTTTTTTTTTTTTAGGGGGGGAGAGACCCAGCAGTAACAGCTACAACTAAATAAGCTGCAACCATCCGAACCTGGGCACACACTGTGCACATGGCACGCTGCACCTTTCCGGGAGCAGTTTTCCTGGTGATGGTCACTGCCCTGTCTTTCCTACTTCACGAATGAAAGAATTTGAGAGGTATTCATATTTCATGCTTTTACATAATATTTTCTTTCCCAATTGTAGCAACCTACCTTTCTGTCTCTTTTCCCATCATTCCCTACACATATCATCTGTGTGTTCTTGAAATGCCTTCACAACATTCTTAGCATATACCACCACTCTCTCCTTCAAATTTTGGAGTGAGCCATGCTCCTAGAAGACACTCAAGACCCAGTTCCAACATCACCTCTTGAGGAGGCCTTCCTGACTCTCCCGTGTTCTGACAGCAGAATGAATCTGCTTCTATCAAACCTTAGTTTCGTTCCCCTGGGGGTATCTCCTATTCTCTAAGGCCACAAGGGCCTAGGTGAGATTTATTCATTCTTGTATTCTAAAGATAAAATACTTGCCATATTAGAGACCCTCAATAGCTTGATCAAACAATAAATTAGTAATTACTTTTCAACTCTTAGATTGCATTCTTATGAACTCTTTATAATTTATCAAGGGAATTTTGTAATTATTATTATATCCTAGTACACACAAGTTAACTCTCTTTCCATATCTGACCCACCTCCTCTGCAGGCTCTCTCTCCTTCCACAGACTTCAAATATTTTTTGAGACAAGGACTCACTATGTAGTCCAAGCTGGCCTCACACTCAAGATCCTCCTGCCTCAGCCTCCTGAGTGCTGGGATTAAGGACATGTGTTATCATGCCCAGTTTCCTGAACTTTAATTTTGGTCTTGTTTATTAAATTTTATTTATTCTAAAATTAATTTTGATCTAGTTTAGTTGACTTATAGAAGATTATCCTATAAATATTATCAAATTCTAATTATTCTATAAATATAGTAAATCTGATCCCAGATAAATACAGGCCACCTCTAATTAAGCACCCTTTCATAGAATTAATATACTATATATTAGTATATATATAGTATATAGTATTAATGTACTTCCATGCAATAACCAATTTTTTCAAAGCACTTCTACTAATGTTGTCACACTTACTTTATAAAATACATTAACTACATATTACCCTTTGTACCCTTTTCAGTTTTTAAAAGCAAAAGTAAACCCCTCCCCTCATGACATAGAAAGCAAAGAAAACAGAAAGTCTGAGAAAAGTCTTGGCAGTGCCCATCTATGTCCTCATAGGGAATATACTTGGTAGGCCTTCCCTGGGCATCCCTCCTCTTAAGGCTGGGAGCCAAAGATCTGCCTCACTTCACTTGCAAACTTCTCTGGTATTCTGTTGAAAAGCAGAGGCCCACACGGTTGAACTAATGCATATTAAAGGCAAAGCAGTAATCCAGATCTCTCCATCCTAGTAAAAGACCCCACATTGGTTATGTTCACCTTTACAAATGGAACTATAACCATCCAATGCTGTAAATACGCTTCATAAATCTGTTTGAAAACAGTCTATGTTATACTTTCCCTCAAAAACCAAGTTTATGTATGATGATCCAAAATTCTCCCATTAATTTGATGGGGTCAGTTTCACTAGGCAACTGTAAAATGCCCTAATACAATTATTTCATTAGAGAGCATAAGGAAGGTTCTCATCTATAAGTCAGTTTGCAACTTTACACAACAGGTCATTTTTAAGTCAATGCTATGTACACAATGTTTAATGCTATTTTACAAATAATTATAGATGAGATGGGGGTGAAAGATTTAACATCCTGACCCACCAACAATAAACTAGGGGAAGTTAATGGAAAATAGGAAAGCCAAAGGAGGAAACAGAAGATCTCCCATTGGTAATGGTGGGAGAAAACAAATACCCTCCACTATTTAAAAAGGAATCTGCAAACGGTGGAAATGGCAGCGCTTGAAGGTATAATGACCCATTTCTCTTAAACTCACAGCCATTTTCTAAGAATTTTGATGTGGCCATTTGCTCGGGAAAACATCCAAGAAGCACCATATGCAGTGGTGAGAGCACAACCCAGGACCCCTAATGAGATTACAACAGGACAGTCTGTGTCTCTCTGCAAAGACTAGAAAGCCCACTGTCTTTTTTCCTCCCTTCATCCACTGTTCCCACTTCAGTGACGCCAAACAATTGACTCGATTGACTCTTGTTGCCACTTCTGCTTTCTAAAGAAGGAGGAGAATCATCTCTCCGTTAGGAGTCAGGAGGGGAAATGTTTTCTGTGTTCCTTCTCCCTGAATAACTACAGTAACACGACTTCTAAAAAGGACTAGTCTGAGATCTTTCTGTGCAAATATATATTTGTTTTTAAAAGTTTTTAAGTTCATATATTCGCTAGCACATGTAAGAACTTGTCTGGAAGCCAAGCTTGGAGTTCAGGAAATGAGAAAAGATTTTTTAAGCTTTTGGGTCTTTAAAAATTTAAAAGACTCGTAGTTTTGGAAAAGAACTGAAATAAGCGGGTAGGAACACAAATGCCAGGGATCTTTCTTAACCTTACCCCTACCCATGTCTGTAAGCGACAAGAAGTTAACGCGGAGCTGAACCAGAGGGAAAAACAACAACAAAACTTAGCTGCAAGCGAGAGCAGGTGTGGAAGTTCCCAGACAGAGCATACAATTCACGTGACAGAGAGAGAACCAGGAGGTCAGAAATGTGTGTATATATGCGTTGGGGGGTCCCCTGGCAGGCTGGGGTGACTGAAGAAGGCGCGGAGTGCGCTCCGTCTTACCCCCCAGCCAGTTGTCGGAGATGTTCTGGAGCGTCGTGACCGGGATGCAAAAGAAGGCGATGAGCAGGTCGCTGAGCGCCAAGGAGCAGATGAAGATGTTGGTGACGGTGCGCATGGCCTTGCTGCGGATCACGACGTAGACCACCAGCGCGTTGCCTAAGAGCGCCAGGGCGAAAATGAGCACGCCGGTGAGCACGAGGGCCACCTTGGCGCGCCCAGGCAGCTCGGGGGTGTAGACGAGCGGCCGCAGTCCATACAGCGCGATGAACTGCTCGCGCGTCAGGTTGTGGTCCCGCAGCAGCCGGGAGAACTGCTCCGGGGTCATGTTGAGTGCCCGCATGCCGTGTGCCCCCGAGCAACCCTCCCCGCAAACGCGCAAAGAGAACGCTGGCCAAAGCAAGGAGACTCAGTCCCACTGACTAAAAAAAGTTCTTCCCTAGCCCTTCACCGTGAGGTGCTGGGATCCGACCGGGAGCCAAGCGCCACGCGACCCTGACGCACCTCTTGCTCCGCAGCTTCTGGGCACGAGGTGGGGGCGCCAAAGGGCGTGGCAACACGCAGCCCACTCCCGCCTCCGCCGCGCGCGGTGCTTGCCTACCCGCCCACACCAGCCGGAAAGCAGTCCCCAGCGCTGGAGCCTGTCTCCAGCTCTAGGTCAGGTTTACGCGTAAACCTGGGGTTTGAGATTTTTCAGCGACACGCCTTCTCCTCTTGACAAATAAGGTGGGCTACAGCTACTTAACGCAAAATCAAGTTTATTTTCTGTATTTAGAAAATAGGTCCAGAAGATAGGAAGTTGCAGTGACAATACAGAGAGATGCCATGTTCCCTTCACGCAATTTACTCCGTCAGTTACATCTTCTATAAGGTACAACACAAAATGAGAAATTTGACACAGATGTACTGAGTCTAGATACGAAACTGGTGGATCATCGCAAAGATCCCCCTAGAGCGACCCCTGTATGGTTACACCCAGCCTCTCTCTCCACCATGTCTAACCCTTGGTGGATCATTGGCCTATTCTCCATCTCTGTACTTTTTTCAGAAGGTTGTATAAAAACCGAATTATATATAAGTTCAAGACTCAGCGCTCTGCCCTTTAAATCCATCCAAGTTGTTGGATGTATTGCTGAGGATGTATCACTGTTTGCTTATCCATTCACCTATGGTACGACAATTTGGTTGTTTCTTCCTCCAGCCTGTTATTATAGACAGAGCTGCTATGAAAATTATTGTACTGGTTTTTGTGTGGACACAGTTTTTATTTCTATGGGAAGTGCTGAGAAGTTTGATTGCTGAGTCTGTGATGTATTGTTTAATTTTAAAGAAATTGTTCAAGTACCTTCTAGAATGCTGGTACCACTTTACGTTTCTATTAAAAATGCATGAAAGATTCATTTTCTCCACATCCTTGCCAGCATTTGGTATTGTCACCATATATATTTAAGTTTTAGCTGTTCTAATAGATGTATAGTGAAATTGGGGTCTTACTTTGCCTTTCTCTAATGGCTAGTGATATTCCCATATGTTTATACCACAGTATCTTTTCGGTAAAATAGTCTGCAAGGTTCGTAGTGATAGCCCTGTTTCATTCCTGAGAGCATTTTCCTTTTTTTCATATTAAAAGCATTTAGTGGCAAAAATTTCTTGTTTAGCCCTGCTTTGGCTGTGTTCAACACGTTTCATGTTTCTTCCACATTTTCATTCAGTTCAATGAATTTAATTTCTTTTAGTTTTTTTTGACACATGGAATATTTTTAATGTGTTATTGAATTTCCAAGTGTTTGGAGATTTTTCTGTCTACCTTCTGTTTTCCAGCTTGATTCTCATGGCCGGCAAAGATAATCTGTATGATCATAATTCTTTTAATTTATTGTGGTGTGTCTTAGGGCAAAGGATATGATCTATTTCATATGTGCTCTGCAGGCAGTAGAAAAGAACACGCATTCTGCCATTGCTGGGAAGAGTGTTCTATAAACATTAATTAGATTCTACCGGTTGAGAGTGTGGTTGATTTCTTCCTTATCGTTACTGGTTTCAGGCTATTAATTGTTGAGAGAAGGGCATTCTGCTACAATTGTGGATTTGTCTACTTCTTTCACTTCTATCAGCTTTTGCTCCACATATGTTATAGCTTTTTTGCTTAATTAATATGCATGTATAACAGATCGGTGCTCTTGACATGTCAGTTCATTATTATGTGATGTCCTCTGTCCAAAACATTTTTCTTGGTTTCAAGTTTACTAATAATAATTTAACCACTACTGTTTCTTTTGATTACTGTTTACTGGCATGTCTTTTCCATATTTTTACTTTCAAAACTTATATATATCATTGTACTTTAAGTGAGTTTCTTATGGACTGCACATCTTTGGGTCATGGTGTGTTTGTTTTTAACTCTACTTTGCCAATTTCTGTCTTTTCATTGGTACATTTAGAGCATTTCACTGCTGTAATTATTAATGTTAGGATTCAATCCTGCTATTGTTTTTTCCTGTTTGTTCTCTTCCTTTGCTATTCATTCTGTTTTCTTTTTCCCACTTTCTTATTAATTATTGTTAAGATTCCATTTAGGTTTATGTATAGTGTTTTGTGTGTGTTTCTTTGATACCTTTTACAGTAACTACTTCTCTAGGTATTACAGTGTGTACACACTACTCATCACACTCTACTGGCATAAACATTTATCAGTTTGAGTCAAGTGTAGAAATTTACTTCTTCTCATGTCCCTTTAACCATCTGCAAATATGATTGTCACAAATATCACCACTATACACATTATGAACACATTAGCCAGTGTTGTGATTTTATCTTCAACTGTCAAATATAATGCAAAAACCTGAGAAGAAAATCTATTGCCTTTATGCATAGTCTTAAACTTTCTGTTGTTTGTTCTTTCTTGTTGATTCCTTATTATTTCCGTTGTTTACAGGACATCCTTTTGCCATTTCATTTAAAGAAGCTAGCAATAAAATCTCTTACTTTTCCTTTACCTGAAAATGTCTTGGTTTTTTCCCATTTCTTTTAAGGTTATTTTCACTGGATATAGAATTCTGGATTGAAAAGTTTTATTTTAATTTTATTTATTTATTCATTTGTGGTACTGGGGCTTGAACTCAGGGTCTACACCTTGAGCCACTCTACCAGCCTTTTTTTGTGTGAGGGGTGTTTTTGAGATAGTGTCTTGTGAACTATTTGCCCAGGCTGGCTTTGAACATCTATCCTCCTGATGTTTGCCTCCTGAGGCATGAACCACTGGCGCCTGGCCTTGTTTTTTTCCACTCAGCATTTGTAAAGAGACTGATTATTTCCTTCTGTCTTTGATGGTCTAATTTGAAACCAACTGGCAGACAATTGCGTTTTCTATAGGTAAGGAGTCATTCATCTCTTGCTGTTATTTTAAGGCATCTCCACTGTCTTCAATTCTCAGAAGTTCTGCTATGATGCCTTGTGCTGACTTCTTTGGGCTTTTCTTACTTTGTGTTTCCTGAGCTTCTTTTGAATTCAAAGGTTAATGACTTTTCTACATCTTGGGAATTTTCCACCTTCATTTCTCCACACACCTTTTAGAACCTGCCTTCTTTCTCCTCTCCTTCTGGGACTCTGATAAAATGAAGGTCAGGTATCTTATTATCATCCCACATGTACCTAAAACTCTGTCCATTTTGGGGGTAGGGGGTTCATTTTCTCTCATTGCTCAGATTAGGCGATTCCTATAATTATATCTTAAAGTTCACTGACTTTTTCCTGTTTTCCACATTCATATGTTGAACACATCTATTGGGTTTATATTTTGGTTATTGGATTTTTCAGCTCTAAAGTTTCTGCTTGATTCTTCTTTTGTCTTCTCTTTTTTGACTGACAATTTCCAATTATTACTATTTAGAGTACATTATCACTCATTAAATTTTTTTGTGTGCAAAAATAAGTCTGTATCCATCAGAAGTTAAGAGTAACAAGGACATATTAAAATGAGATGGCAGTCCTTTACAAATGTCTGCACTCAAACTTTCTTCCAAGAAAATGGCAGTTTCATCAAACTATAAACATAATTAATGTTTTACAGTAACAAGGTTATTACAAATTAACTAAAAGAAAGCATGTCTTTCTTTTTCCCTGTGTGTGTGTGTGTGTGTGTGTGTGTGTGTGCACGTGCATTTGGGAGGGTGTTTGGTTTGTTTTTTTCGTGTTTTTTTTTTTTGGTTTTCACTTGTTTGTTTGTTTTGAAACAGGGTTTGGCTATGTAGCCCAGTCTGACTATAAAAATCATGATCTTCTTGCCTCTGCCTCGTGAGTGCTTGGATTACTAGTATGGGCACCAGTTTCTCTTAAAACTAGGTTATAATTGTGCTCATTATACATCAAATAAAGCCAATTACAAAAACAGAATGCTTTAAGTTTAAAATTTTCCCTTAAATTTTGTTCTAGAGAACTAGAGAACTGCTCACATCCAAAGGCCTATCAGGGTGCAATGCTTCATCAAAGGGAGGGACAAAAAGACAAGCACCCTTTTGTCAAGTCACTGTAAGAATTTTGGTCACTTAATTTTGTGCATACTTTAGGGCAACTGGAACAGTCTGTCACAGCTTACCTACCTTCTACTACCTCAAATTTGGTAGCTCGGTTTTGCTACATTCTACACTAACAAACAAATAAAAGCTAATGCCTGCTTTAAAATTCTTTTCTGACACTTCTAACATCTGTCATCTTGTCATTCAGATCTTTCTTTCTTTTTTTTTTTTGAGGGGGTGGATTTGAGTTGAAATTAGTGGTATAATGAGTTACTTTTCTTTTAAAAGTGGAAATTTTGAATATTTTAAGACTTTAGAACTAATTTTGTTCTTACAAATTTGCTGACCTCCACTGACACCTGCTTAGCAAGGAAAATGAGGATACCACTACACTAGTACAGTCAAGCAATATAAGAATCTAGAGATTTTCTTTTAAGCACACATCTGTATATTTTTCTCTTTTTCTTTTTTTTATTGTTGTGCTGGGTAGGGGTACATTGTGGCATTTACAAAAGTTCTTACAACATTTTAATGTATCATATTGCATATTTTTCAATACAGGTTTTTTTTTCTTGCATTTCAAAGTGATTTCTCCAGACACTGAGGAAAAAGTAACAAAATTCCATGTTATTTATTCTTATCATGTCCATCCTACAACCACCACTATTACTGCCTTCCCTTCCAGTCTTTAACATTCAAACATTAATATAAGTATTATAATGCATAGTGTTTGCTAGGGACTGAATTGTGTCCCCCCACTCATATATTGAAGTCCTAATTTCCATGTGACTGTATTTGGAGATAGATTGTTTGGGAGGTTATTAAAGTTAAGTGAGT